AACCATGTACTGAACACCACCATCCTGTGAAGAGACTCAGCAAACTAGAGAAGACCAAAAAGAAAATGACTGGGATAGTAACTGGATTCCAAATCATAAGCTATGAATAACCATTAAATACAGTAACATCTCACCAAGAAAAGAAAAAATGATATTAGCTTGTTCAAACATTTGAGAATTGCCACATAAGAAAATGTACTAATTCTGTGTTACCTTAGAAGAGAAAATTAAGATTGATGAGGAGATGCTGTAGAGAAATAGATTTCAGCTCAAACTCAAGAAATCTTTCTGATAATCAGAGCTACTCTTTTATAGCCAAGTGCCTATAAAACTAGCTACTCAGGAGGTAGAGATCAGGAGGATCATGGTTTGAAGCCAACCTGGGCAAATAGCAAGACCCTACCTCAAAAAACACATGAAAAAATGCTCACCATCTCTAGCTGTAAAGGAAATGAAAATCAAAACCACACTAAGATTCCACCTCACCTTGTTAGAATAGTTATCGTCAAAAACATCACCAACAACATGTTTTGGCGAGGATGTTGGGGAAAAAGGAACCCTGGTACACTGCTGGTAGGAATGCAAACTTGTGCAATCATTCTGGAAAAAAATTTGGAGGCTTCTTAAAAATCTAAACATAGATCTGTCATATGATCCAGCAATACCACTTTTGGGGATATACCCAAAAGACTGTGACACAGGTTACTCCAGAGGCACCTGCACACCCATGTTTATTGCAGCACTATTCACAATAGCCAAGTTATGGAAACAACTGAGATTCCCCATTACTGATGAATGAATCAAGAAAATGTGGTACTTGTACACAATGGAATTTTACTCAGCCATGAAGAAGAATGAAATATTATCATTTGCAGGTAAATGGATGGAACTGGAGAACATCATTCTGAGTGGGGTTAGCCAGGCTCAGAAGACCAAAAATCATATGTTCTCCCTCATATGCGGACTTTAGATTTAGGGCAAATGCAGCAATGTGGTTGGACTTGGATCACATGACAAGGGGAGAGCACATGTGGGAGATATAAGAATAGGTAGAAAACCCAAAACATGAAAGTGTTTGATGTCCCCACTCCAGAGGAACTAATACAGAAACCTTAAAGCGACAGAGGTTAACATGAGAAGGGGATCAGTAACCAGTATAAAATCAGTTAGAGATGAATCAACATGGGTTGTAACACATGTGTACATGAAAGCAATGCTAGGAATATTTCTGTATAGCTATCCTTAACTCAACTAGCAAAAAAGCTTTGTCTTCCTTATTATGCTTATGTCTTTTCTTCAACAAAATTAGAGATAAGGGCAGAACAGGTTCTGCTTAGAAGTGAGGGGAGGGAGAAAGGGGGGCAGGGGGGAGAAATGACTCAAACAATGTATGCACATGTTCCTTTAACCCCCTTTCCCTTTTCCCCACTTTTCCAAACACCATTTGGTGGATTTCCTGTGATATCTTCACTTATGTCTCTAACATACTTTAATCCTCTTCATCCTCTAGTACCCTCTGCTTTCCCCCTCCCAATGATTCCCCCCAGACAGTCCCATTATCAATATTTTATATATTATTACATTTTATATTTCAGAGACAAGGTATTTTTGTAAATGTGTTAGAAAAAATGTTCACCAGTTATGACCATATGTATGTCTCTTGGTTTTCCCCACATAACTACATCTAAAATGGTAGTGTTAAACATTAGCAAGGAAAAGGAGTTGTGAGAAATGATGTTGGCTTTAAATAGGTATGGGGAATGGGGGGAAAGCCCACAAGACAGAGATTCTGTACCTTACATGACTTACAAATTAGTCTTGGATAAGAGCCTTCAAAGAACTGAAGAGAGAGCTTGAGTCATGTATCTCTTTTGGAAGAAAGAAAACAAAACTGAAAAAATATGAAAATAAGAGATGGTTCAGAGGAACAAGAAACTCTCATTTGAATGTTTCAGTGAACTGAATAAATCTGTGATACCTTCTACTTTCTACAACTTCTGAAGCAGTGAGCAGAAAAATGCTAAAGGAAATCACTGGATTAGATAATTTCAATAGTGAAATGTCTAGTCTTACAGTACTTGGCAAAATTAAAATACAAACTGTTTAAAGAGCTCCTTGCACAGATCGTTTTCTGTTTACTTTAACATTTCTTATTTTATTAGGCATATGTTGAGAGCATTTGCCCATTACAAGTTTCTCATTCTGCTGTTGGATACTATAGAAGTGTTGACTGATAAAAAGATATCTTAATATGTGACACTGTTATAAAATGTCTTTACATGGGATCAATGCTCGCTAGAGAGTGGGCAGAGCCTGTGAACACAATGAGATCTCTTTTCTAAGGCAATTCAACAGATATTTAATTTCACCAAAAGTAGGCACTGTGTCTTTCATTATATTGTTAACAATTACTTCTTTTTGTAATCATGGCCTGCGTTTATTTTCCACATAATAGAACTATAAGCATTAACTGAACATTATGTTCATTGTCTACATGATTTCTTAATATGAAACCATTTAATATTATAAAATGCTTGTGCAGTGAAATAACGATATTGCTTATTTCATAAAATTTTTGTCATGCTTTCCTGAGCCAATTAAAATGATTTCATTTCGGTGATCTTTACAATGTGTCAATTAGTGTTAGTATTTAGTGCAGATCAGTGTCATAGGTGAATTATAAATACCACCATTAGACATGGTCTATTCCCTAAAAGGATCACGTCAAGTTTTTAATCCAAATTGGAAGAGTCATGGGAAAGGACTATATACTAACTAGCTCAGTAAGCTATAAAAGACCTCAAGTTGCTGTGGAACCTAGCTTTTTTTTTTCAAGAAGACACTGGGAGCAACATATCTACTTTTATTGAGAAGCTGAAAGTAAACTTGAATTTCTTAACAAAGGTCAGTTTCTTATCTTTTCTTTATAATGTATATAGATAGATATATACGTATAAATATTGTTTTCTCTGAGGGAAAGTTTGGAATAGTCATCAATGTTTTTATCTGACTATAATTGTATGGTATTATACTTTCCAACCATGGCAGCAACGAAACAATAAGGAAGTTTAGAAATGAATTTATTCACTCATGTCAATCCATAGATACCTAATAAATCTCAAATTTTTCTAGGTGTTTGTTATTCAGTCAAAATAAGATAGATTTATAACTAATGAAAGTATGTAGTAAATGCAATAATCCAGATGTAAGTCAGGCATGGGTGGTGCACATACGCAATCCCAGCTTCTTGGGAGGCAGACTTAAGATGGTCATAAGTTTGAGGATATCCGAGGCAAAGTTAGCAAGACTTTATCTCAAAAGCAAAATGCTGAACAAAAGGTCTGGGGAGCATGGCTCAAATGGTAGAGTCCTTGCCTAGCATGTTCAAGGCCCTGGGTATGATCCCTGGTACCACAAAAATATAATGCTAACAATAATAATAATACAAGTCACCGCGGTCACCCATATGGATGTATTCTATACATCCCAAGAAGCCCAAGGAAGACTTTACATAGAAAGTAGAAAATGGAGGGCATTTCTGCAGTGGAAACTAGCTGACATTTTCATCAAGAAAGAGCATCACAGTATACAGTCACTACAAGTGGTTCAGTAACACTGAAGCACAATTTGCATGTGTATTAACCTCAGCAGTGACTGTGCTGTGTCTTTAGCTCTATCTGCACTACTGTTTCACTTTTGATTGGGCCCTGAGGTCAAGGCCTTTGAGGTCCTTCTTCATGACCTCAGCAACAATTGCTGGTCCATAGTTGGCATCAATAAGTGTTAGTTAACCAAGTAAATAAAGGGGTAAATATATGAATGATTGTACAATCTAAGATTCAAAGATACTTCACAATTATGAAAATGCAGTTTTAAAAAGTTCTCAATAATTTTAGTAAGCTTTTTCATATTATTAAAGAAGAGAGAGAATATCAATTTGTGGACTTGACTTTGATTATTTTTAGGCTTTTGTGGAGTGTAATTAACATCAGTGGATCTACGTTTGCTACCCTTATTTTCTCCCCAGACTGCTGTTAAGACAGCCTCTACTCACCTTCCCACTGAAACTTCTCTGTCAAAGATCACAAATGGCCTTTCATACATTACGCACCACTGATTCATAATGTACAACTGTACATAATGACTCATTCAATCTTTTCCTTATTGAACTCAACATTACTAGACTACTTCTGGTTTCTACATTTACTCTGCATTCTCTCACTTCTGCCTCTATTCACGTTGTCTCCATGGTCTGGAATGTCAGCATACATGCACATACTCACACATGCACATACTCACACATGCACATACTCACACATGCACACACACACACCACCTTTCCTGGTTTCATACCTAGCTAACTCTTACTCATTCACCATTCATTCACCTGTTAGTTTTTGTATCTGTGTCACTTCCTCCAGCAGGTCAGGTATTCCTTCCGTGTTGCCTGCCCATAGCCAACATGGTATAATGATATTATTAAATTTATTATACAGCTTGGAATTATATGTTTGTGTTTCTCTTCTGACTACAAAGAGAATTTGGGAGAGTGAAGATACTAATTTTTTTGTACATTTTTTGTCCTTCATATCTGTTCTAGTCCATGATAGATAATCAATACATTAGTCTTCTCTTTGTTAATGGGAATAATAAAAATTAACCTGATGCCAATGGCTCATGCTTTTAATTGTAGCTACTTGGGAGGTGGAAATTGGGAGGATGATGGTTAGAGGCCCACCAGGGGAAAAAGTTTGCAAGACCCCATCTGAACAGAAAAAGCTAGGCATAGTGGTACATGTCTGTCATCCCAGCTACTGCAGGGAGCATAAATAGGAGGATCACACTCCAGGCCGACCCAGACCAAATGAGATCCTATCTCAAAAATGCAGAGAAAAAAACAGAAGAAGAAGGAAAGGAGAAGAAGAAGGAAAATTTATGTTATCAGTAGGTCCTATGGCAAAGTCATTTTATAACTCTTAAATTCTACCAACCAGCTGAAGCACCATGGCCAAGAAGCAGATTGCTGTGATTGGAGCTGGAATCAGTGGACTGGGCGCCATCAAATGCTGTTTAGATGAAGATTTGGAGCCCACCTGCTTTGAAAGAAATGATGATATCGGAGGTCTATGGAAATTTCAAGTAAGTCTGGGCATTTTATTTCAGTTTCACTTAGCTTCTTAAAATAGCTGTAAGAATTTGAATGAAGGTTTCCTTAAAAGGAACATACAGCAAATCATGTTTTAAGAATTATTTAGTAACCCTAATCTTCATGCTTGCTTTACTGATTGAGGGAATATGTAAATACACATAACCTCAGATTAAGCATGAAACTTACCCAATTCTCTTCAAAGGGACTGAAATTCCAAGTGACTCTCAGAAATTTTAGAAAAAGGATAGTAGTTGAAGATTATTTCAGTTATTCAGTTGATGCTGTGTTTAAGCTTAGGGATGTTGTAGATTTTGTTGGTAGGGTATGATGATTCATTGCAGCATACACAAGGCCCTGAGTTTGATTTTGATCCCTAGCATGGCAAACACACACACACACACACACACACATACACACACACACACACATGCACACACACACACTTGTGTGTGTATAAAACACAGGCAATGACTACTTTTCCCCTCTCAGCTCTTGGTGGCAAGAGATGTACATCTTTGTAGGTTCAAGCTTTTGGTGCCAAATGTTGATTGGGTTCAAGTTCCCAAGTGACCCCATCTTCTTAGTGGATAGTTCCTTTCATTAGTATGAAGAAACTGTTTCCTTTTTATCATAAATTACATGGTTTGGTATTAATATTACTAAACTAGCTATCATTTTATTAGAGTTGGATTAAGCATATTTTTCATCACTTGATTTTTTTCTATTTTGCAGTCATTTTCTTTTAGAGTTATGTTCATAAAACTTAATATTCCTTTATCATCTAATGTGAGACTTTGTCTTCTTTTATTTAAAACATTACATTGAGGAATAATGTATGCATTAAAGTGTGTAATGTATGCTATTCTTAAATGTACAGCTTAATAATTGCTATATATTTATACATTTCTTCAGCCTCTACTAAAATCAAAATAAAGATTATGTCCAGAACTTGATTTGGTTTTGGTGGTACTAGAATTTGAACTCCAGGCCTTGTGCTTGCTAGGCAGGCACCTTACCACAATAATTGTTATATATTTATTCATCTACGCAACCACTACTAAGATCATGACATAGAATTCTTATAGAACTTTAGAAGGTTGGTTCCTGGGTGTTTCTTCCTAGTCAGTACCCAGCCATCTCCAGAGATAACCATTATTTTCATTTCTACTACCTTTAATTACCCTTGCTGATCCTTGGAATTATAAATTATCTTCTTTGTATTGGCTATCAATTATACACATAAGATTCATTTAAATTGGGCTTATAACAGTAGTTCCTTTTGTATTTTCTGTTGATGTGTAGTAATAGTACAAAAATATGCTGGAATCCATTCATTTTCCTCTTAATGGATTTTGGGTGTTTTTTTCATAGTGTGCCTTTGTGTCTGATTTCCTTTACATATCATTTGTATATGTCAAAACCATTCATGACATGAGGCTTGTAGTAATTCATTTAAAATGTTTATTGCTGTGTAGTGTTACCTTGTATGCATATACTATAATCAATTAATTCATTCGTTGTTTTGTTGATTGGCCTTTGACTTGTTGTTACTATTTGGCAATTATGGCTAGAACTACCATAAACATTCTTGCACATGTCTTTTGGTAGTTATGCACTCATTTCTGTTGTGTGCAATCCTAAAAGTAAAGTCCTGGTTCAAAGCACAGGAATATGTTTTGCATCAGTGGATATTGCCATGCAATGTTGTAAAATGAGCATATCCATTTACACATTCACCAGTAACATGTGAGAGTTCTACTTGTTCAACATACTCCCAGTATGCCAGTCGTGTAATCTGGCAGGTGGTAGTCTTGTCTCACATTTCCCTCATGGGTATAGATGATGAACGTCTTTTAGTATGCTTATTGGCCATTTGTATGTACTGTTATGATTTGTTCAACTTGTTTGTCTATCTTTCATTTGATTGTCTCTTTCTTTTTGTTTCATAGCAACTACTTTTACATTTTTGAGTCTTTTTTGTACACCCTTATTGTGATTATTTTATTAGAGTAAGTGGAATGTCTTTTATCTGTCATGATGGATTAAGAAATTTGCCTTTTCTTTTTATGTCAGATAGGTTAATTATTGATTTTCAAGGAATATTTCTTTTTCTAAGTTGACAGTCTTGTTCATCATATCCTCAATTATATGTGTATAAATATATATATATATATGTATAGTATTTATATTATATATATTGGCAGTAGTGGGGTTTGAACTCATGGCCTCACACTTGTTACACAGGAGACACACCCCAACCCCTTTTCTGCTTTAGTTATTTTTCAAGTAGGGTCTTGCGAGTTTGCCCATGGCCAGCTTCAATCCACAATCTTCCTACCTATGACCTCCAGCATAGCTGGAACAAAGGACCATGTCAATTGATTGAGGTGGAGTGTTGCTTACTTTTGCAGGTGCTGATCTCAAATCTTGATCCCCTGGATCATCTCCTGAGTAGCTGGGATAATAGACATAAGCCATAAGCCACCATGCCCAGTGTATATTTTATAATGATGTTCCATTTTTATTCCTGATATTGATAATTTATGTTATGTCCCCCTTCTTTTTTCAGTAAATCTTTTTGGAGATTTATCGACTTTATTAATCTTTTAAATAAAAAAGTTAAGGTTATGTCTTTTTCTTCTATTATGCATCTAATTTGTGTTTCATTGATTTATGTTTATATCTATTATTTTCTTTCTCTACAAGTTTGCATTTATTTTGCTATTTATCTAAGTTCTGAGTCTAGGCCTTGTACAGTTGGCTTGCAGCTCTTTCCTCTTCCCTAGCGTATGCTTTTATGCTATACATTTTCCTCTAAAAATCGGTTTGTTTTATCCACAATTTAGTGTATTATCTTTTCATTATTTTTCAAAGCATTTTCTAATACTCTTGTGAAATATTCCTTGATCCAATGATCATTTTACATGTAATTCTTAATTTCTAAATAACTGGGGCATTTCTGATTATGTTTTTCTTATTAAGTTCTAATTTGATTCCACTGCTATTTGACGAACATATTCTGATTTTAGTCTTTGAAACTTGTTTAGACTTTTCCACTATATGGCATGTTTGGGAAATATGTCATATGTACCTCAAAAGAATGTGTAGTCTAATGCCGGGCATGGTGGTACACACCTACAATCCTCTTGCTGAGGCAGGGGGGTCATGAGTTCATGGCCAGTCTGGGCTACATAGCTATACAGCAAGATTGTTTCAAACAACAAGCAAACAAACAAACAAAAAAGAATGTGTAGTCTAGAGGTATAGTGTTTATATGTTTATATATGTCTATTAAGCTAAGTTGTTTGTGCTCTTTGATTTCCTATGACCTTACCAACCTTTGTTCTAGTATTCTGTCAGTTACTTAGTAAGATGAGTTAAATTCTTCAGCTATAAATATAGGTTTGCTAATTTCTCCTTTGAATTCTGTTAATTTTTATTTTATATATTGTGAAATTGTTACTAGGTACATTTCCATTTAAGATTTTTATATCATTCTGTGGAACCTACCTTCCTACTGTTATTATCACTCTTTTATTTCTAATTTTACCATGAAATCTAATTTGTTTTCCATAATGCAGTCACTCCAGTTGCCTTTTTAGTTGGTGTTTCCATGTTCTATCTGTCTTTCCATCTAACTTTGTGATCATGGTATCTCCCCTGCCAGGTAAGTATTCCATCTAACTTTGTGATTGCATCTAACACAAAGAATGCCTTGGCTTGGTATTTGGGGTTTTGTTTGTCTCAATTGGAGTGCTTGCATGTAATGAGATATGACTAAATTTAGATATAATTTACTGTGCTGACCATTTTTGTTTCATATCTTTATTATTTTTATTCTTCATTTACCTTCTTTTGGTTTTACTTTAATATATTTTATTTTCCTTTTTTCTTATATATTAATTATTTAGACAATAATAAACATGTTATTGTACTCTAGTAACTATTATTTATAATTATCCAAAAACATATCCCTGACTTATTATTTTCTACCTTATATTCATGTGTTTACCACTTTCTGAGGAAAGTGGGATCTTCCAATGGTTCAGCTCAATTTTCCCTTCCTATTCTTGTGTTTTCATGTGTTTGACTTCCTAAATACGTTATAAATTCCACAAAATATTATTGAAATTTTAATCAGTTAACATTTTTGTGTTGATTCCCATATTTGTGATTTTTAGCATTTCGTCCCTTATTACATTGCATGTTTGTATTGTAGTTCATTACCATTCAGCTTGAAGGACTGCCTTTCATATTTTTCACAGCATTGGATTGCTGGCAGCAAAATTTCTCATCTTTTGTTTGTCTGAGGACATATTTATTTCACTTTCATTTTTATTTTCACTGGAAAATAAAATAAATATAATTAAACATTTTTATTTTATCATTTTTAAGGTATTCTCTTGTTTCTTACTTTTATCATTCCTAGTGATAAGACTTGTTGATTCAATGTAACTTTTTTCTCTAATAGATATGGGAGTTAGGGAGAAAAATATTTGTGGCAATAAAGGGCACTGTACTGCTTTATTTATCTCTTATTTTTCTTTAAAATATTTTATTCTGATTATCTTATAATTATAAAGTATATTGTATTAAGAAGTCCTTTCTCCTGTAGAAAAGTCCCTCAGAGAAAATGCCCAGTATTTACAAGTCTGTGACCATCAACACTTCCAAGGAGATGATGTGCTTCAGTGACTTCCCCATCCCTAGCCATTTTCCTAACTACATGCACAACTCCAGACTCATGGACTACTTTAGGATGTATGCCAAACACTTTGGCCTTCTTAATTACATTCGTTTTAAGGTAAAATATAATTGAAATATTGCAGTGTTTGTGTATGTAAATGTGCAGACATACTCAGCTGTACTCACAGGAGAGTTGGTTATACATGGCATCTTCAGCTGTGATTGTAGAGATTAGTAGTGAGCTTCCACTCTAGAAAATAATCACATATATTGAAATAATATTTTGACAATTTCACTTGAGTGTGAGGTTGGAAAATTTTCCTCATCAGTACCTATTCTGATAACACTTCATTGTGACACAGTAACAGCCCTCTCTCTTAGCCTTAAATTCAAAATGGTTGAGAACTTAAAATGATGGCAGTAGTAACTGAGCCATGTCATATTATTCATGGAACATGAACAAGGCTCATATAAACAATGTTCATTTCGTTCCTACAACCCACACATATAACAACCATGCTTTATATTTACAGTGAAATATTAATTCCTCTCTGAAACTCAAAATCCAAGCCCAAGGGAAATGGACAGGCCCGTGCTAAAATATAAAAACATATGGAATATTATTTTCTTCCATATAGAAGTCTTCCTGGAAGGAAGGTATTATTACTATGGCTTCAGTCGTTACTCTGATATTTCATAGTTAAGACTCAACTGTTTCTACTTATATGGAAAATTAGGTTTTTAACAAAATACCCAAAATATCTTGAAAATGCATCTACAGCAATCTCATGCTGGAAGTATCCAGGAATGAGAGTGGGAACTACATAAGTGTGATAACTCAGATGAGTTGCATTATTCAGATTTGTGGGGTTTGTGGGGAGGAATTAAACCTGAGCATTGTGATAGTAAGTTACCTGTGTTTGTGCCCTGTTATCAGACCAAAGTACGAAGTGTGAGGAAGCATCCAGATTTCTCTGTCAGTGGACAATGGGACATTCTTGTGGAGACTAATGGGAAACAGGAGACCTTGGTCTTTGATGGGATCTTGGTCTGCAGTGGACACCACACAGACCCCTACTTACCACTTCAGTCCTTCCCAGGTGTGTTACTAAGAATTCATTTGTAGAGAAGTACTTTCCAAATAACTTACAGAGCAAAATGGTAGAGCATGAGTCTTACTAAGTTTCAATGAAATTTCTCCAGTAACACTAAATAACAATAACTGTTTAAAATTTCTATCAATGGGACAATGTAGTCCATTGAAATACAAAAATAAGCAAAGACAATAAATTCCCCTTTTTGGTTACTATAGTTTCATACAGCTTTTTGTAAATAACAAAAATCAGACCACATTTAAATGATTCTAACTTTCATACATTCATTTGATCTCTCTCCCAAAGAAAGCAAAATTAATAAAAATAAGAGACAAATAATAAGCGAATATCTGGCAAATCCACAAATTTAGGCATCTTGAGTATGGGAAAAGCTCCTTTCTAACATTTATTTCTCATGGATTTTCATTGGTTAATAAAGCTAAGTTTCCTGCTTATTGCTCCCACTGAATTTTGTGTAATAAAATGGTATCCATTTCAGAGAGGATTACTTTACTCCCCCATTTTTCCTACTAACTAAACCGTCCCCCTTTACTCCTTTCCCACTTGCTCTCTATTTCTATCAGTTGCTATCAGGAGTCAATCAGGAAATATTTAATATCTCATTCCTTTTCATGATGCCTAAGAAGCCATCATGAGAACCTCTTCGAAGATTGAGACAAAGTAAATTGAAAAGTCCTAGATGGAAACCAAGGAATTTAAATTTGGATATTGGTTGTATAATGGACTATCTGAATTGTCTATGACAGATACATACACTGACATTTATAAAATTAAAGTACTTGATCCTCTGAAAGTTAATATGCAATATAGTCTATAAATAATATATAATAATGATATAATCTATGGATTATATAATAAACTGTTACATGTTTATCAGCTTGTTTTTGACTTCCTTCCTGGTTTCAGCAACACTCTCCATAGAGAGAGACACATACAATATGTATATTTGGATAGATTTCAGGAGAGAGCAACATAAACACGCCTAAAGTGGGATGAGGCAGAACATAGATTGGAAGCTGTTTTGAAGCCTGGGTGGTAGAAGAGATTTCAAATAAAGAAAGGTCTCTACCTCCCTAGAGAAGGGCAAAACAGCACAACAACCAGTTTCTTGCTTCATCGTTCTGCCTAAGCCTGCATAGCATAATATAGAAATGAATAAAATTAGATCATAGTGCAATTGTTATGAAACTTTCATTTTGGGTAAATTCAGATACATAGATCTACTACTTAATAAGTACTTGATAAGACCAGTAATCTATATTTAGAATCTAGACTTCTAGACTTCTGAGTACAGTTCCCTTTCCTTGAGTTCTGTGAAATAGAAAATAACATTTTTAGAACTCTATGTCTCACTCTTTCAGATTATTCAGAATACAACTTTTTTCCCCTGTGTGTTGAGTAGTATGCGAAATTTCTCCTTATAATGAGAAATTCTTTTCTTTTACCACAGGCATCGAGAAATTTGAAGGTTGTTATTTCCATAGTCGAGAGTACAAAACCCCTGAGGACTTTGTAGGAAAGAGAATCATAGTGGTTGGTATTGGAAATTCTGGTGTGGATATTGCTGTGGAGGTCAGTCGTGTGGCAAAACAGGTTTGTTTGATTTCAACAACTCTACTAATGGAAATCACTGGATTTTGGGTATCATCTAGAGTATAGGTTTGGCTTGGAAGGATCAGAAAAGACAGGGAAATATATGGACCCTGCCCCCAGGTGTTTAAATTCATGCTGAGCAGAGAATAAATGAAAAATTAAATCTCTTATATTCAGAATGGGAACACACATTTCATTGGATTAGTATTAGTATTAATAAAACAAGATGTTAGATAATTAATCTGACTTTTCTTGTTCCCACAAAAGTAACTGGGTCCTAAAATAGACTGAATAGTGATAAAGACAAGAAGTTGGGAGTTTCTCTGGGATCAGTACATTTTGGTTGTAGAATTAGTAGAGTAGAATTGTTGACAATGATAAACACATGATCCTATTAATTAAAAGTATTGGTGGGGGAAAAATAGAAGGAAATAGCAACTTCTTCTGTTTAGACACATTTCATTTAGTATAAAAGCAAGTTATCCATAAGCCTCGTCGCTGAAGTTAGAAATAGCTTAATCAGCAATCTTTCCTCACTGGAAAATTAATAATACTCTGAGTTCAGAGGTATGGGATAGCTTTTTCATTAAGGATTGTTTGAGCACATTTAATAAAGCCTTAATTAATGGATATTCTGACATACTAGAATGTTCAGATGTCCTGACTATCTACTTATTTATGTTTCTTTGTTATCGTTTATCATTATTTTTAGGAGAAAGTATTACTAAGATATTTACAAAGGATTTGCTTATAAAAGTATTTTAATAAACGTTTAAAAATGCTTTTTCCTGAGTTCCCATCTAAGTTGTCTTTACAGATTTGACAAGTAAGAATTAAGACTCAACATAGTGGCCTTGAGAATGAAGTATAAATTCAAACTGTTATTTATATATGATGCACAGCTATGTCAATATCCAAGAATATTTTTAAATAGCACTTCAGAGACAGAGATTAGTGAACAAAGTTTTCTGTTTTTTCTTTCATAAATTTGCTGTTATAGAAACAGTCTTTTTCTGTAAGTCAGTAATCAGCTCTAGCAAAGAACAGCATGGTGACCACTGCATGGTATTTTACCTTCTGTTCCTTTGTAGTCAACACCCTTAAAATGGGCAATAGATAAAGTATGAATAAAATAATATCATGTAAAATTTCTTTCTCCCCTCTGCCAACTTGCTCTATTTCTGTCTCCTTCAGGTGTTCCTCAGCACAAGACGAGGATCATGGATTTTACACCGTGTATGGGATAATGGGTATCCCATGGATAGTTCATTTTTCACTCGGTTCAATAGCTTTCTCCAGAAAATATTAACTACAACTCCAGTAAATAACTATCTAGAGAAGACTCTGAACTCAAGATTCAATCATGCACACTATGGCCTGCAGCCAAAGCACAGGTGATAACTATGTACAACTGCTACACTCTGTGTAGTTGTAAAATGGAATCTGCCTTAAAGACAACTGAGCTTCTAGCAATCAGAATGCATTTTGCTTAATCACATACATTCATTAATATAAAGCACTTTTATAACATACATAACATATATTCTATCACATGAATGTGAGTTTGCTTTTTGACAATCTCATTCATTCAGCAATCATTTAAAATTTGATTGTCATATGCCAACAACAACACACAAAAATACTACACTGCCCCTCCCTTCAACCAGGCTTCAAGTTTAGAGGGCAGAGAAAGGCATGAAATGTCTTTATAGCAAGGCAGTGTGCTATGACAGATATCAGGGTGGGGTACACAGAGTCATATGGTCAATTCAGTTGAGATCAAGGGAAAAAATGTCAGAGAAGGGGAGAGCTCTAAGTTCTCCTTTCTCTGCAAGAGTACCACTGTGACTCTAGGTCTTATGCCCTGGTGATTTCTTGGTTCAGAAATCATCTGCAGCTTCTGGTAAAAAGACAAAAGTAGATTTAGTAATAAGAAAAGAGAAAAACAGAATGAAGACATGGTATCTAAACAAGTAAAGTGCCCTAGAATTCATTTATTGGAAATGTAATCCCCAGAGTCACATGTTAATGGTATTAGAGGTGGTGTCTTTGGGAAGTAAGTAGGATTAGAACATGTCTTGAAGGTGTGGCTCCCATGATGGCTTAGTGGTTTTATAAGAGAAGGGAGAGAGAACTGAATTAGCAGTCTTACTCTGTCTTACCATGTGATGCCCTGTGCCACTTTGGACTCTGTAGTATCCCCACCAGCAAGAAAGCCCTCACCAGATGTGGCCCCTTGACCTTGGATCTCCAGAACTGTGAGCTGAATAAATAAATCATAGTTCTTTATAAATCACTCAGTCTCAGATATTCTTATAGCAATAGAAAACAGACTAAGACAAAAATAACACTTTTATTATGTGAGTATTTAGTTGTCTCTAAAGGCAATTTTGACAAAGTAATTCCTCAAACGTTTCAGCAAATGAGACAATGGAATGTGGCATTTTCTAACTCATTCACTAGAAATATTTAATGATCTTGTGCCATGCTGTAGATGCAGAACAACATTGCATTTTATAGAGGAAGATGAATGAATAAAGAAATTACAGAAAGTAATAAGACCTACTAAGGAAATGAGTGAAATATAATGATAGAATATCTGCCAATGGGGCCAGGCAGCCAATCTGATAGAATGATCAAGAAGGCAATTCTGAAAAATGATGTTTAAGCAAAGACTTAAAGGACAAGAAGGAGTGCCATGAAAAGAACCAGGAGAAAAGATCTAAACAGAAGGATTGGCAAGTACAAAGTACTTGAGCTAAGAAGGAGGTTGGTACAAACTGAGGCACAGAAAGAAACCCAGAGGATCAGAATCAAGTCTGAGAGGATTAAAGAGAGGCAGAAGCCCAAACACATATTGAAATCTTTGATTTCATTTCCTGGTGATTAGTACAACTCAGAACTTTAATATAAAATGGGAAATGATTAAGAATTTTAATCATAGGAGAGTCATGACTTAATGCACATTTTTAAAGGATCATAGAGGCTGCCATGTGGGGGAAAAACCCTGAAGATTAGGGTTTTGTGATCAAAAGGAAAACAAGTATCCTAGGAAAATGATCAAATTTATTTGGATTAGTACAGTAGAAGTGGAGAAAACAAAGTGGAAAGATAGAATGTGCTCTAAGGATGAAATTTATGGTTCTTGTTTATGGGTTGAATATGCAAAAGAAATAAAATATGGAAAAGATCTAGACCTTCCAGGGTTTTTACTTGAACATTTGAGTTGGAAAGTGGGTCATTTGCTATGGTGGAGAAAGGAGCAATCCTGAGGAAGAATAGCTTTGGAGGTGAAAGCAGAGAGTTCTATTTGGTTATATTGTTTGATATACTTATGAGGCAGTCTGGTAAAGATAAATTACAAGTCTGGAACTTGAAAGAGAGGTCTGAGCTAAGGCTACAAATCAGAAAGAATAAAACTCATTGTACTAAATAACCTCATGACTTCATTAGGTTTACTCAAACACAATCTCATGACTAAGTCAAATCATTAAAATACTTGATAATGAGGAAAGGAGAAAGGAAGATTCTGGAAGCAGAACAACATGTATATGATCCTCTTTCCCTTCAACTCAAACTACATCTCTTCTGTCTTTGTCCCCAAGTCTGACAGTTACTGGAGCTGAAGGACTAAAGGGTCCATTAAGGCTTTGTGCTCTATGCAAGTCTTTCCTCTCCCTGGGTCAGACAAATGCCTGGAGACCCGCTCCAGGAATCTATAAGGTGAGACCATGGAAGATCCTGGGAAGAGCTTGGTTTAGAACTCTGGGGAAAGTCAACATCAGCTCTTTATGAAGAGTGTTTAGCCTACCACAAATGAGTTGAGAAAAAGATAAATGAGTAGACTGAGCCTGTATGAGGACATGAGAAGCCTGAGAGGGAGAGGACATATAGGCTTTCTCCAGCTACCTCAGCAAGAGAAGCGCTGCTTGTTATTTTTTGCATCTTGGTCCAGAGAACAAGTCTACTTCACCTTGTATCACCTCTAGAACAGCCAGCATGTAAGACCTCCTATAGCCAAGTGACAAGTCCCCAGGAACTGTCAAAGAAAAATACAATTTCTATGGAACTAATAAGAATAGAAGGAGAAGAAGAGTCAGAAAATCAGAACATACCCCTAGGGAAGTAGAAGGGAAAGAGATTTCAGCTTGCACAAAAATATGAAGCGATCTTAAGGAGATAAATATGACACAAAATGTTCTTTGGAACTTCAAAGTGTCATCTCCCAATCCAAAAACAACAGTAAATAGATTGGAGGAAAATGCTTACTAGAAAGATAAGAAGAAATGGGAACAGATGGAGGAGACATAATATTAAATAAATGACCGAAGAATTTTCAGATTAAAAAGGGACCACTGAATTCCAGGGTAGACTATCAAAACACACACACAAATAAGCACACTCACTCACAGATACCCTTATATATGGTTCCTCAGTTTCCCCACTTTTTTCTCTGCCATCACTAAGAAATATTGGCAGCTGCATGTTTTCTTCCATGCAGGCATAAGCCTGAGCCTCTGCCTTAAATGTTCCCAGGCACTTATAAAGGTGTTAAGGTTGTTGCCCAAAACACTGAAAGAAACTAGTCCCAGCCCTAAGCCAAATGTGACTTTCTCACCAGGGACATACTTAGACAGAACATTATTTTGTTATCTACCACTGGGGTGCACTACAGAATCCTGGTAACTTCCTCTAATCAACGTTTTAAACAGATGACCCTGGATTTAGTACTTTGTTTTTTAAAATTCCCATCTTGGAACAGTTTACTCCAGTCTTAGCTTCAGCCAAGCAAAACACCTTAGGTAAATTCCATGAATATGCTTCCACTCAGAAAGAACAAGATACCAGAACAAAAAATTAACTAAACTTTCATGGAATTTCCTTGCAACACTGGAACATAAAATGCAGTGCAATAAAATACTCAGATTCAGAGAGAAAATGCCTTCGACCTGAAAATCCTGAATCCTGAGAAGATGGCTCATTTGTAGTAAGAAAAGAAAGTTATTTGTTAGTATGTCCTCCATAAAAAAGTCAGAACCGGTACTTCTGACTTCTATCTGAGGATAAGAGAAAAAGCAGAGAGATAGATATAAATATCTACCTGTAATTGAGACCATGCAACAGTAGATAGGGAAGGAAAGAAAGCACACAAACAAGCAAGCAAGAAAGAAACAAAAGAGGGAAGGAAGAAAGAGAGTGACAGATCCCATCTGGGACTGTGTAATCTAAGTGCTAGATAAAGACTTTTTACACAGAAGGGATATAGGTAGCATAAGGGAAATAGTGATAAATGTCCTACTTCATGTCATAAACTCTAGGAGTGATGAGGGAAGAAACGAGAGCAGATGAGGTTCATGACTTAGAGCTATACTTTAGAAAATTAATATATTTAGTATAATAAAAGACAGAGGCCAGAGATTTCTCTTAGTTAATATAAGCTTTTGTAGTGTTAGAACTTTTTGAATATTATAGAACCAACCCACTTTTTAAATTGTGTGTATTACATTTTTTCTAGTCACATTTTCCCATTGACTTAGCTTGAGTTGCTATTTTAATATGCAAAAGACTGAAAATTTTCAAAATTCGTATATGTTCATCTTTTATAATTTCTGAATTTCTAGGCTAGATTAAAATCTTCCCTGCTCAAGATTATAAAATTAGTCTCTCAGACTTACTTGAAAGATTTGGACTTAATTTTTTTTGTTAGCGGCCAACAATAAGATACGACAGTCAGCATCTGACTTTCTATATTAATTATAATCTCTTTACCCTCAGACTAAGTCCAAACTCTATGACTCCACATTTTTACTCTCCATTCTTTCTTACAAAGTTCTTTAATTCAAACTTAGCACCACACATTTTTCTATTTTCAGTTGTGGGTCATTTAACGACAGCAATATTTTCTGAGAAATTCATTGTTACAGGATTTTGTTACTGTGCACACATCGTAAAGTATACTTATATGAAAGCTGCATAGAATAGGTCACACTATGTGGGATATTGATGAAATCAAGAGACAAGGTAAACACAAGAAGTTTGACCTGGCTAATAGCATAACGTGGCATATTGTTTTAAAGTAGACTTTTTCTTTATAATTAGAACTCTAAAATAATAATAAATGTAAAAGTAAAAGAAATGTATACAAGATTGCTATTTATTATTGTTGTCAACAAGTTAAGTACTGTGCATAATTGTATGTGTTAGACCTTTATCTGACTAGCAGTGCTGTAGTTTTGTCTTACACCAGCAGCACCATAAATAGTTGAGTAATGAGTTACATTAGGTTGACTATGAAGTTGCTAGGAGATAGCACACTTTCAGCTCCATTATCATCTTATAAGACCACTGTCATCTATGTAGTCCATCAATGCATGAAACATCTTCATGTGCTACATGACTATATTCTTAGTTTTCCCGTATCTGTTTTCTTGTCCACTTTTTCTCTGTACCTTATTTTAATCCAAATCTTACGTCTTTATGGCAGATTCTCCCAGTTGTTCATCTTCCAGTTGTTTTTCCTTAAACGTAGGAGTGTCTGAACATGGGGGTCATATACCTGGTTCATTCCAATAAGAGTAAATGGAATTCCACTGAATGGAGTTCTGGGAAGGCTAATTAATGTTTGCCTAGAAGAAGTGCTGTACTCAGTAAACATATCTTTGCCCTCTTTTTTGTTCTTCCTTTCTAGAACATGGATTCAATACCTGAGGTAGACAACAATTTAGCCATTTAACAAATATTTTAGTGGGTAATTGTGTCAATTACTTATGGCTAATTCTGCCACAAATATATTCTACATCTAACTTGGACACTGATTTTCATTTATAAATAATACTAATTTGGTAAGAAGTGTGGTAGAAGAAAGGCAAATAGTCTATGACTTATTTCCAAACTAAAGTCATAGTCATACACCATTTTCCTTCAATTCTAAGAAGTGTAAATATATTAGTTCTAAAACAAATAAATATATGGTATAGCAGGTAAGATATACACATGCTTTCAAGACAAAATAGGAGACTTGAAGAAAGGCAGAACTGAGGTAGCCACTAAGCATTCAGGGTACAAAATACTGTGCCATAAGAGGCAGCACAGATTTAAGAGAAAATGAAAATTTCTAGCTTCAATTCCTTCATATATGCATTGCTTTTTTTTTCTTTTATTCATATGTGCATACAATGTTTGGGTCATTTCTCCCCCCTTCCCTCGCCCCCTCCCTTACCTACCCAGCCCCCTCTCTCTCCTCCCCACCCCCTTGCTACCAGGCAGAAACTATTTTGCCCTTATCTCTAATTTTGTTGAAGAGAGAGTATAAGCAATAATAGGAAGGACCAAGGGTTTTTGCTAGTTGAGATAAGGATAGCGATACAGGGAGTTGACTCGCATTGCTTTCCTGTACATGTGTGTTACCTTCTAAATTAATTCTTATCGAACTAACTTTTTCTGTAGTTCCTGGTCCCCCTCTCCTATTGGCTTCTGTCACTTTAAAGTATCTGCATTAGTTCTCTGCATTGAGGGCCACAAATGCTATCTAGTTTTTTGGGTGTCTTACCTATCCTCATACCTCCCTTGTGTGCTCTTGGTTTATCATGTGATCAAAGTCCAATCCCCTTGTTGTGTTTACCCTTAATCTAATGTCTGCATATGAGGGAGAACATATGATTTTTGGTCTTTTTTTTTCTTTTATTATTCATATGTGCATACAAGGCTTGGGTCATTTCTGCCCCCTGCCCCCACCCCCTCCCTTACCACCCACTCCGCCCCCTCCCTCTCCCCCCCACCCCCTCAATACCCAGCAGAAACTATTTTGCCCTTATTTCTAATTTTGTTGTAGAGAGCGTATAAGCAATAATAGGAAGGAACAAGGGTTTTGCTGGTTGAGATAAGGATAGCTATACAGGGCATTGACTCACATTGATTTCCTGTGTGTGTGTGTTATCTTCTAGGTTAATTCTTTTTGATCTAACCTTTTCTCTAGTTCCTGGTCCCCCTTTTCCTATTGGCCTCAGTTGCTTTTACAGTATCTGCTTTATTTTCTCTGCGTTAAGGGCAACAAATGCTAGCTAATTTTTTAGGTGTCTTACCTATCCTCACCCCTCCCTTGTGTGCTCTCGCTTTTATCATGTGCTCATAGTCCAATCCCATTGTTGTGTTTGCCCTTGATCTAATGTCCACATATGAGGGAGAACATACGATTTTTGGTCTTTTGGGCCAGGCTAACCTCGCTCAGAATGATGTTCTCCACTTCCATCCATTTACTTGTGAATGATAAGATTTTGTTCTTCTTCATGGCTGAGTAAAATTCCATTGTGTATAAATACCACATTTCCTTAATCCATTCGTCAGTGGTGGGGCATCTTGGCTGTTTCCATAACTTGGCTATTGTGAATAGTGCTGCAATAAACATGGGTGTGCAGGTGCCTCTGGAGTAACCTGAGTCACATATGACAGATCTATGTTTAGATTTTTAAGAAGCTTCCAAATTTTTTTCCATAGTGGTTGTACTAGTTTGCATTCCACCAGCAGTGTAAAAGGGTTCCTTTTTCCCCACATCCTCACCAACACATGTTGTTAGTGGTGTTGCTAATGATGGCTCTTCTAACAGGGGTGAGGTAGAATCTTAGTGTGGTTTTAATTTGCATTTCCTTTATGGCTAGAGATGGTGAGCATTTTTTCATGTGCTTTTTGGCCATTTGAATTTCTTCTTTTGAGAAAGTTCCGTTTAGTTCACTTGCCCATTTCTTTATTGGTTCATTAATTTTGGGTGAGTTTAGTTTTTTGAGTTCCCTATATATTCTGGTTATCAGTCCTTTGTCTAATGTGTAGCTGGCAAATATTTTCTCCCACTCTGTAGGTGGTCTCTTCAGTTCAGAGACCATTTCTTTTGTTGAGCAGAAGCTTTTTAGTTTTATGAAGTACCATTTATCTATGCTATCTCTTAGTTGCTGAGCTGCTGGGGTTCCATTGAGAAAGTCCTTGCCTATACATATTAGTTCCAGAGTATTTCCTACTCTTTCCTGTACCAACTTTAGAATTTGTGGTCTGATATTAAGATCCTTGATCCATTTTGAGTTAATATTGGTGTATGGTGATATACTTGGATCTAGTTTCAGTTTTTTATGCATTGCTTTCTTTTTGTATATATGCCTGCTTAAGGCTTTTATTTTTATGTGCAGACCTCTAAGTCAGCATCCAACTGTCAGTGATGACCTACCAAATCATATCATTTCTGGAAGAGTTCAAGTGAAGCCCAATGTAAAGGAGTTTACAGAAACAGATGCCATTTTTGATGATGGCACTGTAGAAGAGAATATTGATGTTGTCATCTTTGCAACAGGATACAGTTTTTCCTTTCCTTTCCTCAATGGTCTGATTGAAGTGACTAATAATGAAGTATCACTGTACAAATTGATGTTTCCTCCCAACTTGGAGAAACCAACATTGGCTGTAATTGGGCTCATCCAGCCACTGGGCATTGTACTGCCTATTGCAGAACTCCAGTCTCGCTGGGCTGTACGGGTGTTCAAAGGTATGTGAATAAAGGCTGGAGAAAGGAATAACAGCTCACCTAAAGTTTTGATGCTAGTTTTCTCCTTTCAGCAAAAATATACTTCTCTTATTGCTACAAATCCTGAGAGATTCTGGGTTTTTCCTTCTAGGGCTGTGCAAATTACCCTCAGTGAAGAACATGATGGCAGACATTGCCCAAAGGAAAACGGCTATGGACAAACGGTAAATTTAAAAAATAACAGTAATAATTAGTTGGGGACATTCATGGGGATCATGGAGTTCCTAATAATGGGATTCTAAGTCCATGTCTTATCTGACTCAATCATATTTTTCTCAGTTTCCTACACTATGTTGTCCTTTAGCATGAACAAAATATGAACCTCAATTCTGCAGTGAATAAGCACATATTTATTCTTTTTTATGCATTTGTATTTTTATTAGCATCTATTATTTGTACAGGGATTTCATTGTGACACTTACATTATGCTACAATGCATATTAATTAGATCCAACCCCTTCATCATTCTTCCTTATCCCTTCTCCTCTCTTCTTGGAACAAGTTCAAGGTTCTATTTTTCAATTTTTATACATGTATAAAAATTACCCCAGCCACATTAGCCCTACTTTACCATCTCCATTTGCTCATATTAAATCTGAAATGATGCTGTCTTCCTCAATCTCAGATATTAATGGTGTTTCTTCCAGGACCTCACCATAATTTAGGAAACTTACCTGATTCTCTGAATGTGGAAATAGTATCTGATTTTCATCACAATTATGTTCCTCACTGGCTTGCTTGTGGCATGTGCACTTTTAAGTATCCTTAAAATGTGGAAGCTTTTAGCTACCTTATTTTGAGAAGGGTATAGGAATCTTTGCTTAGGACAGGGCTTGGGTTGAGACAATATTGGGGTTCAGACTTCCTATGAACCCCCCAAGTAACTTCCCTCTGAAGTCTTAACATGTGTTTCTGAACTCCTTCAGCCCAGACTTCTATTTCAAAGGCAGTGTGAAACCTCTTCTCCTCTCTTGTTGCATCAAAGACATGAGTTTTATTATCCTCCATGAACCCCGAAATAAAAGCTAGAAAAGGAGGTACGTTGAAAGTAAGATATTTCTTTGGTCATGTATTGAAAACTGTCTTAGACAAGGGAACACAACAGAAAAAGCTTGGCTACCTTTGTGGACTATGGAGGAAAAGAATAGTAGGCAGAAAATGTACAAAATAATAATGTAATAAATGCTTTTGTTACTTTATTTTAGCAATCTATAGACTTTCATATAAAGAAATGAAATTCATTCCCACTAGTTGCTCTGCTTCCCCTCCCCTAGCTAACACACACTCTATAAGCAGTTTTACAAATTTTGGAAAAGCACTTGCTGTAAAAGCATTCAAGTATCATTCTATCAATACTTGAAAGAAGTAAATATCTGATTCACTCATCAAAACTTTATTTGTATTAACTATGACAGGCATATTGCTAAGCATTTCCAATATGATTATTCACAGAGCAAAGGTGAGCAATATAAAATGGCAGCACCACTGTTCTTATGTAACTGAACCTGAAGCATTCTTTTCTACTCAGCTATGAGAGGTACAAACCCAACATTGTGGAAAGTTCCCACCACGTGGAACAAACATTCAGTTCATGAAGCAGGGATGCTGACTCTCAAACAGCTCTAAGATAACACTATATGTACATTCTCACATCAGAAAGACGCCCTGCTGTTGCTCCGTGTTGAATGGCCGTGCACAGGGCTGTTGCCATCCTATAAAATGTATTTGTGGACAATAGAAAATGTCTTTTCTTCCTCAAAATACTTTGTTTTCAAATTCTGAAAATAAAAACTCATAACATTAAACATCAAATTCACAGTATCTACATTGTGTCTGAGACCACTTGGGATAAACAGTTGTTGGAAATGCGCAATGCACTGCATGCTCAGAGCTGTAGCATTAGACAAAAGAGATCTACCCAGCACCTGCCATTCCCTGCAGTACTACAGAGTCACTTTACTCTGTAAAGGAGGCAGCATTCATCAGACCCTTACTGCAGTATAGCCACTGAGCTCCCCAGGCCAGGTTATCAGTAACTACCTGATTATACATCCCCTAGTTGACTGCAAACACACAGAGGAGCTGGAAGTTAAAGAGTTTTCCATACTAGCTATACAAAAAATAGGTAAGTATTTAACTGGACCATAATTGTCCATTGAAAAAGGGAATGCCTTAAAGGACAGGGATGATTTTGAGCACCAATCTATAGCTCAGTCACGCTGGTACATTAAGAAATGAAGGGGCAGTGAACATGGAAAATGGGTTCTGTATTTACACTGCCATTCAACAGCTGAGTAGTTTCTTAAGTGGAAAAGTTCTGGGATGCTGTAAGTCTCTGCCCTGCTCCCTCTGCCGGCGCCTGTGAGGCTTTACGTCCCTTCCCTTGCGTTTCAGTTATGTGAAGACAGCCCGGCACACAATCCAAGTGGATCACATTGAGTACATGGATGAGATCGCCACCTTGATGGGGGTGAAGCCCAACCTGCTGCTTCTCTTTCTTTCTGATCCAAAGCTGGCCGCGGAGGTTTTCTTTGGCCCATGTACCCCATACCAGTATCGTTTGCAGGGACCAGGGAAGTGGGATGGGGCACGGAAAGCCATCCTAACGCAGAGAGAGCGGATCATGAAGCCCCTGAGGACTCGCATTACCAGTGAGGACAGTCGCTCGGCCTCATGGCTCCCTCGGATAAAGATAACACCATTTGGACTGGCATTTCTGGCTGCTGGCTTAGCATACTTCAGATATATTCACCATAGCAAATGGAAATGAATAAATGAACACTGAGTGAGGGAAAGCATTTTTTCCTGTCCATCCTGGATTATTACAAAGCCTGTATCTAGTCAATAGCATATGTCAATAATCTTTAGCATTACTGTAACTTCTATAGAAAATACTTAGATGTGCTTTACGAGTATATATAATATAAATATGTATATGTATATATATATTACTTTCAATGGGTGTACAGCAACATCTATAAAACATTTAGAATTCATAAAAAACTTGTGATTGAATACAACTCTGTTTAACCTTTAAGAGTGTTTTTGGAACACCCAAATTTATTTCATGACACTAGTTAACCCTTAAAGGAACTTATAAATAAAATTTTGCTTTTCCCCTTGTTGGTTATATTTTCTACTTTATTCTTTCTTTAAGCAATTCTATCAGATTCTCATTCATGCATGAAGGCTTTATTTTATACCATAGAATTTAAAAGCAATTTAATATATGTTTAATATAACAATTAAAATTTTTATATTTTAACTTATTAGAAATAATGACAATTTAAATTGTTTGCAAACAATTGTTTTGAAGAAACAACTAAAGAACAAAGTATAACACATTTCAGAGTTTCCAATGAATTCCTCTGAATGTCATCAGTCAGCTGCCTGGGATCCTTTTGATCTATTTGCATAGGAATATAGGTAGGCAAGGGGAAGATCTGGTGCTGACAACCCCAGGACCTTGGGTGCCCAAAGTCTAGGAGCTGGACTGGCAGACCCAGAGCTGACAGGTCCAAATTCTGAGAACTAGTGACATGTTGCTTCATGCTTTAGAAGGCAGAGACTTACGGCTCTAGGCACTCAGGTTGGAAGCTTATTGCGCTGGAGTTTAACCAGCTGTGGCCTCAGCACTGGGTAGCTTTTGTAATCCTCAGCTTCCAGAGGTATTGAGTGGTGGCAGCAAGCAGTACAAACAGCAGCAGGTGGCACTTTTTAGTGTTTACAGCTTTTGCACAGGCCTCAGGTGCTGGGACCTTTAGCCCGATAGCATCGAGTGTTACAGATCTCGGGCTTGGGGTGTTGGGATTCTTAGCCCGGAAGGCAACAAGTGTTTTAGCTTTTCACAGTTCTTGTTGTTTCTCCCCGCTGCTCCCCATTATTTCTGCTCTGGCTACTCTCTGGAACTCTTCTTGTTGCTTTTGCCACTTAGCTTATTTAAAGGAAAAATAAACATTAAAAGGGGTGCTTATCATTAGCATTAATGGTGCTTTAACAGTGTTTAATAGTGCTCAAAGAATGCTTAACTCCCCTGGGAGTGACAGGTCTCTTTATTATGTCTTAAAAGCTTCCAATATTTAGAAATAAGCAATTCACTACACTGTCCAAAGACTAAAACTATGTTGATACCCAAATAACAAACATGATTACAAGCTGGCTGTCTAGTCACTTTGCCTGGCTTTGTGACCAGCTGTCTTCTTTGATAATAGGATGGTAGCTTCCTCAGTGTTGTCATTTGGCAAGTGCCAGACGGGTTCTCTGGCCTAATTCCCCTCTCCCTCCACTGACTGTAAAATTCTTCTATGATTCAGCCTCTGCTATTTTTCCAATGAGTGTTCTCCCTGTCACCCTGTAAAAATTCAAACCCCATGGAGTGAGCATGTGGAAACTGAGTGAGGTGAGCAATGTGGACCTAACACCCTGTGCAGCTGAGTCATTAACAAGAAACATCAGAGATCTGGGTATGGTGGCTTACACTATAATCCAAGCTATTCAGGAGAAAGAGAATATGAGGATCACAGTTCAACCTCAGCCCAGGAAAAAAGTTGTCCAGACCCCATCTCAATAAGGTGGATATGGTGGCATGCACCTGTGATCCCAGGTACATGGGAGGCATAGGTAGTATGAGTGCAGTCTGAGGCCAACCCTGGGAAAAAACAAAATAACTAAAGCAAAAAGGGCTGGGGCATGTCTCAAGTGGTAGAGTGCTTGCTGAGCAAAAAGAAGCTCCTGAGTTCAAACCCAAGTATGACAAAAAAGACGAATATGGTGAATAAGGAGGAGAAGGAGAAGAAACATCAGTAAAATATCCTAAAATCATCACAAAGAAACTTCAATATTTATGAAAGTCTCTTGAAGATAAGCTTGAAATTTATTTATTACACTCAAGACAAAAAGGTCCACATCTTTCTCAGGAGCTTAAATAATGTGCAAATTTCTCTGTCCCACAGGGTCTATGTTACTACTTCAGAATGACAACAAAATCTCTGTATGTGACCATATAGTTACAGGCAACTGTTCATATAACTGATTCTCGGAACCTGAAGACATGGAGAAAGGGCCTTTGCAGATATGATTTAGATAAGGATCTTAAGATGGGGTGACTTCCTGTGTAACCTACATGGGCTGAGAGTGAATCCAAAGGATTGTATGAAGAAAAGGTGTAGCAGGAGAGTCAAAGGGGATCTACCAAGGAAGCAGAGGTTGAGGGATGTCACTGCTAGCTTTCAAGAAGCAGAGAACCATGGGTCAAGGGAGGCAGGAAGACTGTGGAATCTGGGAAAAGCTAGGAATGAATCATCCTCAGATCTTACAGATGGAACACCGCCATGCTGATACCTTAGCCTAAGCTAAGGTTTGGATCTGGAATGTCCACCTAAGTGTGTTGAGGGCTTGGTCCGTAGTTGATGGCACAACCAGTGCTACCTGTAGGAGGTGAGGCCTACTTGGAGGAAGTAGGTCACTAGGGGACATCCCTGGCCCCTTTTCTCTCTCCTCCATACTCTCTCTTTCTCTCACAGTTTTGCTTCACGACATGCTTCATGCCATGATGTTCTGTCTCACTGCTGCCCAGAAATAAGTGATCATGGGTTAAACCTTTGAAATGGAGCCAAAATAAATCTTTCCTCCTTCAAGGTGATCTTCTCAGGTATTTTGTTACATTCACAGCTGCAAATATAAGCCCACTTAGACATCTGACCTCCAGAAACAAACTAAATTTATATTGTCTAAGTTACTAAGTTTTGATAATTTATTACAGAAAAATAGGAACTAATGTACTGTGAAAGTTATCAGAATCAAAATGGTGTTGCTTATGTCAACCATTAACACATAGAGTAGTAAACCCAGAACATCAGAATGAAAGAGCTCTCATGCAAGATTGCCTGAGAGTAACTATGCAGACCCACAAAATTGCACAAAGACCACAAGATGTCCTCTCCAAGGACATCTGCACAGAAAATGTCCTCCAAATTTTGCCTTTAAAAACTTCTCCTCGGCTACTTAAAAAGCTAAACATTGATCTACCATTTGATCCAGCAATACCACTCTTGGGGATATACCCAAAAGACTGACACAGGTTACTCCAGAGGCACCTGCACACCCATGTTTATTGTGGCACTATTCACAATAGCCAAGTTATGGAAACAGCCAAGATGCCCCACCACTGACGGATGGATTAAGAAAATGTGGTATCTATACACAATGGAATTTTATGCAGCCATGAAGAAGAATGAAATGTTATTATTCGCTGGTAAATGGATGGAATTGGAGAACATCATTCTGAGTGAGGTTAGCCTGGCCCAAAAGACCAAAAATCGTATGTTCTACCTCATATGTGGACATTAGATCAACGGCAAACACAACAAGGGGATTGGACTTTGAGCACATGATAAAAGCGAGAGCACACAAGGGAGGGGTGAGGATAGGTAAGACACCTAAAAAACTAGCTAGCATTTGTTGCCCTTAACGCAGAGAAACTAAAGCAGATACCTTAAAAGCAACTGAGGCCAATAGGAAAAGGGGACCAGGGACTAGAGAAAAGGTTAGATCAAAAAGAATTAACCTAGAAGGTAACACACACGCACAGGAAATTAATGTGAGTCAACTCCCTGTATAGCTATCCTTATCTCAACCAGCAAAACCCCTTGTTCCTTCCTATTATTGCTTATACTCTCTCTTCAACAAAATTAGAAATAATGGCAAAATAGTTTCTGCCGGGTATTGAGGGGGTGAGGGGGGAGTGGGAGGGGGCAGAGTGGGTGGTAAAGGAGGGGGTGGGGGCAGGGGGGAGAAATGACCCAAACATTGTATGCACATATGACTAATAAAACAATAAAAAAAAACTTCTCCTTGCCTTAGCTTTGAATATCCTCAGTTTACTAGGACACACACATTCCCATTGCAATGTTGTGTTATTCCCCCCAAAATATCATTATTCTTTGGAGAAAACTCTTTAAATGTTATTTAAATTGATGTGTTTGGTGTCCAGATATGCGGCCATAGCAAGACCATTTTCATAAAACATCCACAACTCCTGGAACCAGATATAGGTCTGATATTGGCTTTGCATTTTTCTGTGGCTTGCATTTTTCTGCGCTAGAGAGTCTTCTCTCAGGTATAGTCCCCTTGTTTTTAGAGAAGGCGCCCTATTTTCTTCATTTGGGATCTGGTTTTGAAGCTGCCTTAAAGAAAGGACTTAGTGAATTTTAGGGTCACAATAAAAGACTTTTGTGTTATCTGGAAGGGTCTTTCTGGTATAAAGGCACTGTCCTGGTAAGCATTAAGATTTCAATAGAACTTACATCACATGAGGAATTTATATCTCTTTTGGTGATGGTAATTTCTTTTGGTTTTGCACACCTAATTTGATATTTGCTTGATCTTCATGCTTAATTTAAAATTTCCTCTGAGCATTTTTATTTGGTTTCATTTTAGTTTGGTTACAGGCATCTGTTACTGGATCAACTCCAGCTGTCCAACCCATGACAATCCAATTAAGTAGAGAGACAAGGTGTTGAGGCAAACAAGGTGGATGTATCTGAAAAGACAGCTAAACTAGAAGATGGAGACTCTTGTCACAAAAACCCATGTTATGGGGGAGCTAATTTAGGGGTTGTTTATGTAAGTGATTGGTGAGTGTTCCTACACTGGTGGGTGCCTCCTCCTGGCAGAAGGGCCAGATGACACACATGTGATCCCGATTTCCTTTTTCAGTTCTGAAAAATCACAAAAAAGAAATATAACTATTTCTGTCTATTCTTGCCAGTG